GTGCGTGCGTGCGTGCATGCATGTGTCTACGCTTTAAGTGCGCATGAGTATGCGTGCGTGTGTATATGTATAGCGCGCGCATTTTCGTGCGTGCGTGCGTGCGAACGAGCGTGCGTGCAGGGTCACGTCTGACAGACAGACGTTCTTGTGTTTTGTAGAAAAGAGGTAGAGGCGCTGCAGTCGGAGAACTATTCGCTCGAGAAACAACTGCACAGCTACCAGCAGTCGATAGCCGTCGCTCACGGCAAGGCAGCCGGACCGCCCAACGACGTCGGCACCCATGCCAACTCCGTCGGTAGCGACTGAGGAGAGGGCCCCGCGACCGACCCAGTCACCGACCGAGAGCAGAGACTGAGTGCGAGCAGAGACTGAGTGAAAGCAGAGACTGAGCGACCGAGAGCAGAGACTGTTGATCAACAGAAGAGAGTGTTGTCGCTGCGTGCATGCGGCGATGCTGATGCTTCTCCCGACCGCATCCGGTAGAGCTCCTCAGCTGCCGCACCCGCGCGGCGGAGTCGGACGGAGCAGCGGGCGTGCATCCGCGTCCTGAAACAGCCGAGTGAAGTTTACGATCGGCGTCGGTAGATGGCGGCACACGCCGCTAGCGGGCGCAGTACGCGTGGGCGCGTGTGTGTGGTGTTTTGTAGACGTGCACGTATGTGAAAATCGGCAAAATCTCGATGAAATCCGTTACTCTTTTGTCATCAATTCCTCTATCGCGCAGGTTGATATGCTTCCATAGCGTTACTTTTCTAATTGCGAAAATCACCCGCGTTTTTGATAAGGAATGATAACCTGATTACGAATAATTCCAATCTCCTTAATTGCTCTTTGACGCGGTGCAATAATTATACGACAGAATCACTGCCAACGTAAACAACACATAACGCAATTATTATTTAGAAAAATTTCATTAATACATTTCCCGGAGAAAATAAATCTTTGATTTTTGAATCGAATCAGACGAGAATGGAAAATGCAAGTTGTTGCTATGGTGACGAGTTAGACCAACAGAGTTGCGCGCGCATGCTTCGCGGCGAGTAGCACAACGAAGTTAGAATGTATCAACTGGGATTTTTATTTAATTATTGTTATATGCGTGCGGTTGTGAGCGTTGGGCAGCGATAACGTGTAGCTTGTGGCTTAAGTTGTCATTAAGGATAGAAGTTATGTATGTTTCTCGATGTTTGCACAGAGTAGTGTTTCAAGTCCATGCAGTCAGTAGATAAAGAGAGACAGAGAGAGAGAGAGAGAGAGAGAGAGAGAGAGAGTATTGCTATTTTATCTATTACTCTTCTATTACCCTTTTAAAGGTGCGCTCTAGCATGATATCTCGTACTCCATTGATAGGTATTCCCCTTTCATTTCCCCTCGCGGCTCTCTGTAAAATTCGTCCGCGTTTAAACTACACCAGTTTTTTTAACACAATTACGTAATCATTGGATCGGTAAGACCGGACCTATTTCCACAATCGATTGAGTTAAAGATCAAACACATTCGTAGCCGACTAGCAGGCGAGTGGAAATTTATGTAGAGCTCTTCGGCGCGTGAAATGCTGAAAACATCGCAGATGAAACGAGCGACGGTGGCGCCTGGCAGCGGTAGAATACCGCTCACGCTTCTCAACTGTCTTTTATTTAAAAAAATAACACGGCTTGCTTTTTAACCGTTTTATATTTAAGAGAAATAATACAGTTTGCTGTTTAACCCTCTTATATTGAAAAAACAAGAAGGCGGTTCACTGCTTTTCAACCGTTTTGTATTTAAAAAAATGCGGTTAGTTACTTAAACGTTTTATATTGAAAAACAATGCGGTATACTGCTTTTACACCGTCTTGTTTTTTTTTAAATCGTGTTGTTCGCTTCTTAAACGCCTTAATTATATTAAAAAACAACAACAATGCGGTTTGCAGTTTTTGTAACCGTCTTGTATTGGTAAAAAAAGCAAATGCGGTTCATTTTGCCTGTAACGCATTGCCGCACATGCAATCTCGACCGGCGACGCGTTTCGCTTGCTACGTTAACGGATGCGTACCCTAGCCAGAACCGCCAGCACCGCCACCACCGCTGCTACCGTCCTCTGTTCGTATCTTAGCAACGGACGCCGCATAGCGTGACGGCACGTAAACGGCGGCAGAAGGTATTACGGTGGGAAATCATTTCCCATTCGTGACCACACACACGAAAAAAAATTTAAAATGCGCAAACTGAATCGCAGCAGACGCGGCGATCGCGCATGCCCAGGCGGCAGCCAAAAACCCGCGTACACACCACCAGACTGTCATCGCCACACGATCACACGGAGATGACGTCACGCGGGGTGGATAGTTGTGACGTCACGCACGGGAATGACGTCACGTGGTGGAAGTGACGTCACAGGGGGAAAACACGACGTCGTGTAGAGGAAATGACGTAACAAGTGACGTATGAAGACAAGACGTACGCGGGGGATCGTGGGGTCGGTGTAGCGTATATCGGTCGCGCTACTCGAGAGTTGCTGCGGATCGAGGTACCGTACCGTGTCTCAGCGGATACTGGTAACGGCGTTCTAACCAGATAAATCTATAGAGACGCCACTAGTACATTACTTCTATGGTTCTAACCATAGAAATAATATAGGTAGACCCTATAGGTGTCTCTATATTTTTCTATGTTTCTAACACCTGTCTCTGCTGCTGTATTGCTCCTCACAGCTGAAGGCCGATGGGCCGTATCTGGATGCCGATCAGAAGCTGACTGTGCATATAGAGTGGAAGGAGTCGCATCTGCTGCTGCAGTCAAACTACAGCAAGTACGACGACATCACGCTGAAACACGACTACCAGATGAAGTACGTATATACACACACAGACGCACGCAGACGCGCGCACACATACACGCGCGCACACACGCGCGCGCGCACACACACACACACGCACACACACACACACACACACACACACACGCACACAT